AAGCAAGCCAGGTATGGTAGCACATGCCTGTAATTCCAGCACTTGGGAAGCTAAGAATTGCTGTAAATTTGAGGCCAGCATGTGCTCCAAAAGGACTTCAAATCCACGTTGAACTGTCTGGTGAAACTTTGTCAAGAGAAAGAAAGAAAGAAAGAAAGAAAGAAAGAAAGAAAGAAAGAAAGAAAGAAAGAAAGAAAGAAAGGAAGGAAGGCAAAGAATGAGCAGAACTTAAGGAATATTTTGATATTCTCAAAATGAGCACATAGATAGAAGGGTTTCTCGCTTGCCTGCGTAACATCCAGCTCCACAGATGATGTAGTTCCAGGATCTGGCCAGGCAGCTACAGGCCTTCCTCAGTGACAGCTGCACCCTGGCTTAGGAGTGGACAGCAGCTGTCATCAGTTACTACTGATGCTTTTAACCCGTGCTGGCCAGCCACAGGGCTCATGACAGGCCAGGTTTGGAAGATCATACATCCTCTTTCCTTGGACATGCAGCTGGACCCCAGGACTCATTTCAGTGCAACTGCTGTGCAAACCATCTCTATGCAGTAGCTCATTTCCCTTTTTGGCCACCCTGGCCAGATGTGCTATACTCCCTGCAACATGATAATCATGACATAGCTTGTCCTATGAAGTTGTGCCCCTGCCTGACTTCTGTGGGAGCCTGTGCCTGCTGGGGTACATGATAGGCTGCAGCTTCATCTCCTCCTGTGCAGAGAAGCTGTAGGACATGGACTACTGCTGCTGTCCCAAAGGCAAAACCCTCTCAGGCACTTCTAAGATCTCACAGGATATGCAGGTGTACTGCAGGAAGCCACTTCCTCTACCCCTGTTCGCCCTCTGGGACGGGCTCCACACCAGTGGTCTTATCTCTTCATCCTATTTTCTTTGAAGGAGATGTCACAAAATAACAGATCTCTAAATCCTGAAAATTGCTGCTTGGAGTCACGCACAGGATGGCAAAAACAATGACCCTGAGTGTTGGTTCAAAGTTTTTTACCTTCCCCCTGAAAACATTTTAAATCTTTGTCATGAGTTTTTAAAAGAACTATTGCAAATTGTATCATTCCTGATTACAAAGAATTTTGTGAGTGGTTTTAAATAAATTTTATACTTCTATTTTGAAAAAAAAAAAAAACCCGAAGATTTTTACCTTCCCATCATCCTAAAATCACTCCAACTAATTGTTACCCCATCTTAAGACCCTCTAGTGATGCACTACTGGCTGACTCAGTGGGCTTTTCTGGTAGTGCTCTCAAACTTATTTTGAGACGTTTTTGCCAAGACCTTCACTGAAATGGCCTTTAGTAACTATCACTCTTCTCGCACCTCTTCCCATTCCAGGGACAAAAATCTTGCCTTTGAGACTTTTGGGCGTGGCTGTTAGATTCTATAATCACAGACTTCATTAGCACCCAAATTTGCTTAATTTCTTAATGCTCTTTTAAGTGCATGGATAGGGCTATTTGCACTCACCACAGACACATCTATGAGGTCAGAAATGCAAAATAAAACAAGGCTAGATTTTATTATTGTTCTGCCTTTCTTTGTGCCAGATCCTTGGTACCACTTTATATGAAGGGGCCTTTTTTTCTCATGGAGTAACTGTATTAACAGTTTTTATGTCCTCCTTTTGATCTTAAACATCTTTAAGCCTAACTTTTTTTTTTTTTTTTCGAACCGGGGATTGAACTCAGGCCCTTGTGCTTTCCAGGGAAGCACTTATTCTACCGAGCCATCTCCCCGGCCCCTGTTTTAAGCCTAATTTTTAAAGTCAGAGAATTATATTCTTTAACTATATGATGGGTACCGTCTTCCTATTTCTCCAATCTGCATCCCCCTCTAGACAGGGTCCTAGAGTCTTGCTGTTTTTGCCCAGGTTGGCCTAGAACTCAAGTTGATTCTTCTACCTTGGCCTCCCAAGCTGGTACTACAGGTACCAGTCTTGTGTCTGGCTATGGTTTTTTTTTTCTTCTGTATTTAGGGCAGGGCCTAAAGACAGGATCCACAGGGTTTCACTATGTGGATCAGACTCATAGTAATTCTCCTGTTTTCAGCCTCCCAAGTGCTGGGATTCCAGGCACACGTCACCACGCCCAGTCTCAACTGCCATCTCAGAGTGCCTCCCAGGTGGGGCTGTCACTGCAGGCTGGGGATCAAAGCCCGGCTCCTGAGCTCTGCCTAAGCAGTCACGTTAGTCTACAAGCTATCAGGCCGGCCCTGGCTCCCTATCTTGACAGAAAAAGAAATGGATAATTTATGCACTGCCTTTACATGGGTTTAGCATGGTTCTGAAAGACTTCTCAAAGTAGGGACCCTTTGGCAGTGTAAGCAGAGGTGAAATGAAATGCAATGGACCCCCATCTGGGTGCCATGGTGCTGAGGCTTTGGCTTGAAGGAATCTAATCTGATTTTATGTTTCAAAGATACAACCTGTTGTATAACATCAACATGATTTCTAGGGCTCAAGCCACACAAGCCAGAGACTTTCAAGTTGACCACTGTGTCATCTTAAAAATGGAGATGGAACTGGGGATGCCCATCTATCAGCTCTGTTTCAATACGGACTGGCACAGGGGATTATTGTGATTAACAGTGTGCAAAAATCAAACATAACCCTTAAAAGAAAATCTGTATACTGGTTAAAAATTATAAGCATTAATTCAATTTATTTACTTAATGTTTTGAAAATGCCAGTCACTATTTTGCAGTGAATTATAGACACTGTATAGTACTTTTGTATCAACTGCTTTTAAAAAATAAAGCCTGGTTCATTCAGTCTATTTATAGACTTCCTACATAAGCGTATATAGGTAAACCATGGTAACTATATAAACATTACCAAAAATAACATGCTTTTTTCAATTAAATGAGCTTATGAGAAATATTTTTTTAAATTTTGTGTGTGTGTGTGTGTGTGTGTGTGTGTG